GCGCTACTCCCTCTCATTTGATACCGGACTAATTATAGGTAGAGGATTGTTTCTGTTGCCAATTTGCAAATAATCTGCATGACCAATGGGTGATATTTTTCCAGTTTTGCCTCAAAGGTTACAATATGGCGTATGTGCTGCGAAATCCTGAGGTTCCTTTGGCTTATGTAATTGCAATTGAAAAGACTAATGCTACCGACATAAAGAAACAACCTCCATACATGTTGCACGTCATGGACGACCTACCACGTACAAAAAAGAACACATCAAGTCATCCATTCGTCTGGCTTAACTGAAAACGGACACGTATCCTGCGAAATAAATTCTGATTACCCCAAGGACCTCTTCCATCCCCTTTGTCACCTCCACTAAACTTGACCGTAAAGACCCTCCCTGAACTGAAGGGTATAAGTATATGTAGTATGGGAGAAAAGGATCTTATACATGCGACGCACAGCCTAGAAGAGCTTTTAAACGTTGCGCGAACGATATTTGAAGACCCGACTCTCTAAAAGCCTTCAACTTAGTCGAAAAAAGTGAACAAAAAGTGTGTAGCTGAAAATTCTCAATGCCTTCCGAACCCGGTGGAATGTATGCTAACGAACAAAAAATGGTATTTCCTCTTAAGTTGTATATTTTGATACAATATATGCGTAGCTGCTGAAAGTTCAAACACCATCCGTTTTATAAAGGTCGTAAAAACTTTCTGCGGAAGCTGTGTTGCCGAGTAATAGTACAAGCACATAACACTGAAGAAGTGGAAGCTCCACGCTAAACGATGGCAACACCGTTGACACTTGTCAGACGATAGCGCCGTCGACTTGCCTGGACATCTCAAGGAACTATTTCGTTTGTTCACCGTTTGAAATCCACTTAGAACCATATTTTCCTTATTAAAGGATTATTTCATGAACCTAGACTAAAATAATAATATTTTTTTCGGCAGTTGTGCTGGAAGCATGTGCTAGAAGGATCATATCTAATGCTAATTATTATACACAAAATACATTTATTTTCAACAAATAATAATATGCTGTAAAAATATTTTCTTACAATGGCGTAAAATTGTTTTTAAACGGAAATATAGATAGATTCATCAATAATCTATTAATGAACACTGTTTGCAAAACACAGGTGTGTGGCTTCATTGAATTACTTCTTGATAATCTGCAGTGTTTGTAAAAGCTAGTGTTGGCTTGGATGGGCAGATTTTGTGTTTATTACATGCCTTGTTGCTTTGACTGTACCATATGCCGTTATTACCACTATAAGGTTCATCCAGAGATTCGTTCCAGAGATAACTATTCCATGTAATCTTAAAAAATCTACTAATTACACCAATATGTTAAGTTCATAGCCTACCTGTAGCACTTTATGAGAAAGTCTCCTTAACACGTTCAGTGTCACGTTGGTCCTATAGGACCAACACTCATGTTGCCTCAGCAGGCCACATTGGTCCAACAGGACCAACATATATTTTGACTTACCAGGCTCTGTTGGTCCCATGGGGTCAACGCATTTTCTAATGGCTGCTGGGCCGTTAGCGCTCATTTACCTATGTACGGCTGCAGAAATGGACCACCATGGCCTAGAACATTGATTCCCAAAGTGGACTATATCGACCCCTAGGGGTCTATGACAACCTGGAAGTGGTCCACGTCACCGAAAAGAAATTTGGGGGTACATGAAATGAATATGGGGGTCCACGATAGTGGATCTCAACACATACACTGATAGTACCTATTTAGTTACATCATACTATCTTATAATATCAAAACATATACATTATTTATAAAAGTACCTATGAAGTAAATTTATTATATATGTTTATAAAATTGTGTAAGTTGTAGGAGGTTGGTATTCGCTTTGTGGTCGCAATACATTTTGAACTTGTAAAAACCTGAGAGTCGAAGTCTCAGAGCTTCGCTACCTTGCACTGACTTGTTCAATTCGTCACTCTATAAATACGAATGTGAGACAAATACGTTTATTCGTTTCCTGAATCTTGAAAAGGAAAGTGCTAAGAAAATATTTTAAAAAATATAAACAGATAGTATATCACACAAATTACATATAGTGAGTCAGTGTTATTTTGTTTGAGAGAGCTAGAGAAAAGTAAGTACATTAATATTTATTAAATTTTAGTTTTGTACTCGTAGTTAGCAAAGATAGATAAATTACGCCAATCATGACTTTAATTATTAGTAGTTAAATATTCAATCATGCAAATTACACGAGGACTCCTCAATAGTTTCTGTTTGAAGGTTTTAGCAATCGGTAATATAATTACAGTGCAATCTCCGTAATTCGAGCTAATTGTTGCAAGAAGATGTTCGAATTATGGAATGTTTTCGGAAAAATCAAAAAATATTATCGGAGAGAAGTTAATTTTGCCAGCCGTTGAAGAGGTTTTAAAAACTGTTTTACACAAACCTGCATCTGGTATCATTAAAAGAATTCCCTTAAGCAACAATTCTGTTGAAAGACGTATTGATGAAATGAGTTCTGATATTGAAAGCTTCTTATGTAATTATTTGCAAACGACCCATTTCTCTATACAACTGGACGAGTCAACTTTACCTGATAATGTAGCATTATTATAGGCATATGTTTGTTTTATTATGAATCAAGAAATCTACTAAGAACTGCTCTTCGCAAGAACTTTGATAACCGACACTAAAGGTGAATCAATATTATATGTTTTGAAGGATTACTTCATTGAAAAAGCAATTCCTTTATCAAATATAATATCAGTAGCTACAGATGGAGCACCTGCCATGGTTGGACGTTATCGTGGATTTATAAGCTATTTAAAACAAAATGTGTCAGGGGTGTTAGCAATACATTGCGTCATCCATCGATAACATTTAGTTGCTAAAAATTTGAGAGTTAGATTGCATGAATCACTTCATTTGGTCATTGATGCAGTAAACCGAATCCGAAGCAACGCGTTGAATACGGTTATTTGCGCAGTTGTGTGAAGAAAATGACGAACACTTTCATCAATTACTCCTTCACACTGAAGTACGCTGGCTGTCGAAAGGCTTATATTTGACAAGATTTTTTGCACTTTTTGAGGCTATTTTAGAATTTCTGGATACTAAAGATAAAATTTTAAAAGAAAATTTAATGAAGAGGAAAACAGACATCGCCTATTTAACAGATTTGTTTACAAAATTTAATATGGTTAATTTGCAATTACAAGGCGACAGTTTAAATTTGATTAAAACAAAGTCCATCTTATCAGCGTTTCTTACCCGAGTTAAACTAATGAAGCAAAATATTGGACGGGGCAAATTTTCTCCGCTCCCCAATTTGTCACAGACAAGCTGCCAGGAAGACGACGTTTCAACTTACGTTCAACATTTAAATGCCCTCTAATCAGATTTTGAATCAAGGTTTGAGGATATTTTGACTATTATGACATAGAAGAAACGAATGTCATAATACAAGAGGAACTGACTGAACTAAGTACAAACGAAGAACTTAAGGTTCAGTTTAAAAACGGATATCAGCAATTCTGGCTGCAAAACAACATACCCGTTACTTATCCCGTATTATGGAATATAGCGAGGAAATTTTTAATTTCCTTTCCATCGTCATACCTAGTGGAAAGGGGGTTCAGCGCTGTTACCAATCTCCTAACGAAAAAAAAGAAACAGACTGGACATCATTAGCCGAGGAGATTTAAGATTAACCCTTACAAAATTGACGCCAAATGTTGATAATTTATTATTAAAGCATCAGGTTCATCCTTCTCACTAAAAATATTGACTTATTGCTTATGTTATTTTATTTATAGTTTATTTTATGACCAATAAATGCACGCATTGGGAATAAGTGACCGCACTGATTTTTTTATAGAACCCCCTTTATAGAAAATATTTTTTTTTTAAATTATTCTGAAAATTCAAGTAAAGGTACACACCAAAATTCGTTAATTTTTTGCCTATTTTTAGATAACTTAAACGTATAAGAAGCTGAAATTAATCAAACTAACAGTGAAATTATTGTAGAACATACGTTTATGTTATAATTAATAAACGAACTCGCTTATTGTACTATTTTAAGTAAAAAAACTTTTTTTTTTATTATTTTTCACTTTTTTTTATTTTATCCCTCTTATTTTTTTTCAATGCGGGCACTTATTCCCAATGCGAGCACTTATTGGTCAGACACCTGTTTATTTAATGTTACGTATATTTTACATAACAGATACAAAATTTTATTTTGAGTAGTTTTAATTTAAATTCAATTAATAAATGTATAAATTAACGTGTGTTTTTACTTTAAGTTTTTAACACTAAACTTCACTACAGTTAGAAATTTACAGGAAATCAATATCAGGTAAGTAGGGGGTCTACTCAACACGGAAAAACATGGCAAGGGCTCTACGAAACAAACAAGTTTGGGGAACTCTGGCCTAGAAGCTATATGCCGCACATATAATTTCTTAGATTTTTCCATAATGAGGAATGTTGCCCCGATGGGACCAACGTCTTTTTTATATGGTGCACTAGTGCTCAATGTAAAATATATGTTTGGCGTGGTGGACACATGTCAAAAAAATATTTCTGGCAGCGAACGTGTTAACTTCTACATATCGCACAATAGTCACAAAACATTTCACGTATATTATCACAGCTACTGATAGTGTTACTTTATATTTTACACTAATTTTGAATTATTATTATATTATATCTCCGGAAGCATCTACGTGATGCATCTGGATGTTTGCCATAACAAACGCCATATTTGATACTTATACATTTAGATAAAGATAGAGACTTCATGCAAGCGTCACGTGACTCGATGCCTGTAATGCAGTTTCCTTTATTTTGCCTGGAGCGGCATAAGACGTTTCACCTCACTGGGTATAAAACTCAAGATATTTGATCGTGAGCCTGTGTAAAATGCACAACGTAGAATTCCTTCTCCGTAAAATCTACAGCGAGCAAAGCAATAGCATGAAGTTATGCTCGATGAATATTCTCAATACACTAGAGCAGTGTTACCCAAAGTGTGGTATGCGTACTCCTGAATGGAGAAAGATATTCATTTAGCATTAATATACATTCTGCGGCAGGAGATTTGTCTCACGTGGAAGAACAATGTCTGTTGGATTCGGCTCTTGACGGATCCTCAAAAAATAAACATAATGAGTGTAGCTTAACCCTTAATAGCTACTCTTCCAAAACAATCACTTTTGAACTACCCAAGGGTCAATATGACCCAGATAAAAAAAATTAAATTTAAAAGAAAAACAACATCAAAATAATTTTATTGACAAAAGTAAACAAACGTTTATATTGTAATATAACATGTAAGTGTTGAAAAGCAAATCAAAAACAATTTGGGCATATGTTTTTGGCACAATTACGACATACTGGATTTTTACAGCTGTCACAGAAGGTACTAGTTTTTTGGTCCTTTTTAGATGGGCAAGTAGCACACCGCTTTCTTTTGGAAGGAGGAATGCGTTCAGTAGACTGTGCTTCAACATCAAGAGAAATTCCCAGTATATTCGCCATCAAACTTCTGATCAAACTTATTATTGTACATACGAACCATAATATGGCGTTGACATAAACTACGAGCTAAATTAAACAAGAAATTCCTTCTTGTTATTTCTTCTCCATTTTTAGAAAATTGAAGTAATACTCTAGAATTGATTCCTGCAACATTTAGCATCATGTGGAATAATGCCATGGGCCAACGGCGAGTTTTCCTGGAAGTTGAATAATTGGAACATTTTTGATCGAGGGCATCTACTCCAGCTTTTGTGTCGTTGTAAAACAAAATGATTTCCGGTTTTTTTGTTTCATTATCAACAGATGAATCAGTATGCATACTGGAAATCAAAATCACTGACTTGTTTTTCTTCGGTACATATGAAACGAGAGTTTTTCCAGAAGTAAAGCCGAACTCTGTTGAAAATTCTTGACGCAATCTAGACGGCAAAAATTCTTTAGGAATACACCTTTTATTTTTTTTCAGAGTGCCCACGTAGGTTACATTTACTTTACTTAACTCATCTACCAACTCTACAGAAGAATACCAATTGTCACCTGTGATATTTCTATTACTTCCAATTACCGATTCCACCAAGCGAAGAACAACTTGTGTTGGTTGAGATAATTTGCATTTACTTTTCTCCAGCGACTTTCCCGCATAAATTTCTGCATTTAGCAAATAATGAGTTTTTGAGTCTGCAAGAACTTGTACTTTAAGACCGTATTTAGCGGGCTTGCTTGGAATAAACATCTTAAAACTGCAGCGTCCGCGAAACGGTACCAACATCTCATCTACGGTCAAGTATTCCCCGGGTGAGTAGTTTCCTTTACAGTTTTGGATAAATTCTTCAAAAAGATTTCCTAAAGCGGCTAGTTTGGTATTTTTCATTCTTTCTTTTCGTGTTAGTTCGTCGTCAAATCGAAGGCAGCATAAGAGAAAGGAGAACCTAGCAAGTGACATCGTGCATCTAAATATGTCACGTCCCGTTCCATCAGTAGCCCAAAGGGACCTTAAATCTTCATGGCCTGACTTGTATAACCCAAGGAAGTATAGAAGACCAACAAATGCCGCAATTTCTGTTTTGTCAGTTTCACCAATAAATGAAGGCCGAAATTCCGACCTGCTATTGCTCTTCTTCTTGAACTTTCCATAATGACTTTGAACTGATCTGATTTTTGTATTAGTATGAGTTATAATTTGTCCAAATATTTCATCTGTCAGAAGCAACTTCCAGGCTTGTAAGGCAGATTGAGGTTTGTGTTGTGCTGCATTTCCTTTCAAACCGGGCAAAACTTTTATGATGTTTTTTGCAAGAGTCTTTCCTCTTACTGGAGCAGTAGTAGACCATTTTGTTCTATCTTTTCCATACAAAGCTTTTGGAACTTCCTTTCTGTTTAAATTCACATCTTCATTACTGGTACTAGCTGAATGTTCTTCGTCTTCATTTTGTTCGTCGGAAGGCTGCCATTCCTGCTCACTGTCCGTATCGTGGGTACTTAGTTCCTCTTCGTCTTCCTCTTCTTGATCGCTCTAGTCCCCAAACGTAAAAAGTTTTTCGCATGCATCACGTTTATCCTCCTTTTCAATAGTATTTTCATTGTATTCGTAAGTGGAAGATGACGATGATGCAGTATTATTCACGTCGAAATCCTCCCAGAACTCATCAGACTCAATAATTTGTTCCAGCTCTTTATCAGGAAGTCCTTTAGCCATTATAACCTGAAAACATCAAAAAAAAATACTTCATAAAAAAAAACTAAAAATGGTGGTTAAAACTTACCTTTTCATATAAAAAATACTACCAATAGTTCATAAAATATTCAAGTAATTCGGAACAAAATAATAACGTTTATACTATCCACGGGTCATTTTGACCCAGTGGCTGCCATTACAGTCGAATGAACTACGTCACTAGATTAAAACTACGATGCACATTTACTTCAACAGCGGCTGAACGAATACTGAACCACCGCCAGCTGTTCACGTTTAATATAAAGATACGAAGTGGTCCCCCCCCCCTCATATCGATGGGTCATTTTGACCCGTGGGTAGCTATTAAGGGTTAACATCATTGTAGTTACAAATGCAAAATTCGTATCTGACTTTAACCGAAAGAGTTTTAAAATATAAATAATAATTAATAATAATAGGCCTTTAGTTTACCTGGCAGATTTCAGCTATAAAGCTGCTCTCACCACCAACTTGCCTTTTCCCACTGCATGTTTTGGTGAAGTTTCACCACCTGTAGATATTAAATAAATAAAAAGGAACAAATTGCTGGATGTAGAACCCCAACTCAGATTAAACTTAGCAGCCAGAGAACTAAATTTTCACGATCTGGTCTAGTCAACGCATAAACAATTCCATGCTACGCATTAATCAAAACAAATTTTACATACTCATAATTTAAACTTTTAATTATCGTATGTTTACATTAAACAGAAACGTCTAATGTTAGCAGTGTACAATGTTCCGTAGTGCGGATATGATAGGTGCAGTTTAAGGTTTTTTTGCAACTCGAGATGCCTAACAACTGATTGCCTAGTCTAACCCCAAACACTTCAGCTGAAGTTCCAGAAATATGTATAAAGTAGGTATCACGCAATGATTTTTCAACAAATGTGCTCAAAGGTTCTACTCACACTGTGAAGTGTCCTTATGCAACCTTATAAAAAGAAATAACATCGACGTACATACCTGAATCTGACAGCTTATGTCGGCATAAACAGCTACGTAGAAAACTTCTCATGGGTAGCCTGAAAGAAAATATAATGTAGTGGGTGCTGTTGGTATAGTGGACAGCTATACTAAGTGTCATATAAATCCGTAAGTTGACGAAATCGTACAGGTCTCCGTACTCTAGGCATCATAACCGATCGTAAAGGATGTCAAGAACCAAAATCCGCCAACGTTGATTCTTTACTGCGGCTGAAATATTCATTTTTAGAGCGTGAGTGAATTAAAAAAAAGCAGAATAAAAACCGGAATGTCCAACTAATAAGGCTGGAAATTTTTTCACTTGTTATTTACAGTAAGATAAATACATTCACCAACTTTTATTAAAATAAAACCATTTAAACTGGGTGTTTGGATTTATATGTCACTTAGTATATTATTGTATGGCAATACTACTCGTACATGGTGTACTTTAATGATGATTGCATTGTATATTATTTCTGAAATAATTTCAACAAGAAAAGCATATATAAAGATATTCACTATACGCAATGGCTTAACTTTTAAACTACAAGATGTTGAAATTTTAACGAAAGACTTATTTTTGAATAATAATAACAACCTTTTACAATAAAATATTTTTATAATGTGCTGAGATCAAAAATAATATTCAGAGTACTTTCGAAGAAACAAATGATTGTTTTTCATCCCACGCCATATAGTAAAGAATTTCGGCCATTGCAGACATATATGTTCTATTGAGTTTTTCTTCATCAAACTATCTGAGAAGTCATAGCCTGGAATATTAGAACGTCATTAATGAACATGCATGAATATGAAAGACTGTCTCTCAACACATACTGAGTGACAAAAAAAGATAAACACCTACGTAAGTTTATCCGATTTTTGGAATATAAGTTCAGTGTCAATTACTAGTAAAATCATTAAGTTTTCAGCTTGATTCGTCCACTGACTACAGAAGCTGTTTCAGAAATGTATTGAGGATCCACGATTTCTTATACACTCATTGACATGCCTGGGCATCGATTACGTATATTAAACAAGATTAGTAAATACTAATGAAATTTTTACCTAACATAAGATCGGAATTCAACCTCAACTATGCATTTACGCACAGATAAACGAGTAGATTTTATGAAGGATTGGACAGTAAGTTTAAAAGCATTAGTATTTTTACATAAGAAGGTAAGGGTTGAAAATTGATGCAGCAACATAAAAGACTTTTTGAATTGGGAACATGTTTCTCAATACTAGTCCAGCCTACAATTGTTACGAATGAGATAAGATCATTACCAAACACACTCCTGCTTATCTGTATAACAAAATTCGTTACAACAGACGTCCACACTCTCAGCCTGCCTTATAGACATTTAGTTTCTACTCCTAGATTCGGTATATCGTTTTTCAAAGATTATTTTTCTTACAATAACGCATACCTGTCTATAATAAGGTACCGATTTCATACAGGAGTTTGTCTATGAATTTATTTAAACAAACAATGAAGCGTTTTCTATTGACTGGTGACTCTACAATAATTACGAAACATACAAAATTTAACTCCTTTTTCTAAGTACACAACAGTCCATCATTTTTGTTTTTCTTCTAAGTCTTTTTGTATCAAGTTTCTTGCTTGCAATGTGTCAGGTTGAAGAATTATTGTGTATTTAATTTTGGTTAAATGGAAGAGCGGCTCATTCCACAGGGTGTAAACGTTATGGTAGTCATTATTGAAATGGGTAATAGGGGGGAGTCAAAACAAGTCAAAAGGTTCATATGAATAGATTTTTGTCTAAATGGCTTTATAGTTTACAACTTTAAGTGCTTTATATCGACCACAATTACCACAACCTTACTAATTTTTATAATCGAATATAATACGGTTTTAAATTGGGTAATTAACAAATAAATGGCATTAAGTTTTTCTAAGTTAAGTCAAAATTTGTAGTCAGTAAGTAAGTAAGTTTCACTAAATTGAACATTTAAAACACACATGGCAACACCGCGTTGGTCATCATCACTCTTATCGAACCGGCAATAGATTGCAAACGGTAACAGTGGTTAGTTATCGGGCATCGGGCGTGTTGTTGACAATGTTCTCGAATCAAGAGTTCGCTGACATGTTGTTAGTTTACGGTGAAGCTCGTCAGAATTCAAATCTTGCAGCTCAAATTTATCGCGACAGATTTCGACAACGGATACACCCAGACAGAAGGACATTTGTGCAAGTGTGCCAAAGACTTCGAGATACAGGAAGTGTTCCGCCCACTAATATTCGCACTCGTGAAAGACAGGTTACTGTAGAGCAGGAGGAACAAATTTTAAATATCGTGGGAATCAATGCAGATATCAGCACTCGGGAATTAGGCCGCCGCGTAGGACTATCGCGTACCATAGTCCATAGAATCCTACGGGAAAATTTGCTTTATCCTTACCATGTACAACAATGCACTCGTTGTACAGGCCTTGTTACCAGAAGACTATCCTCGCAGACTAACATTCTGTCAGTGGTTTTTGCACAAAAACATTGAAAATCCGGATTTTTTAAAAACATTCTGGCGACGGACGAATGTACTCTTACGCGAGACGGGATATTAAATTTCCGTAATACTCACACGTGGGCTCAAGAAAATCCTCATACCATTCGTGAAGGTCATTTCCAACAACGTTTTAAAATAAAAATTTTGACGGGTATTCTTGACGATCAGGTAATTGGCCCTTTCGAGTTACCCACAAAGTTGTCAGGAGAAGGATACCTTAGCTTTCTAGCCAACAACCTACCAGAACTTTTGGAACAGACCTTAGACGACATGCCATTACATTGGAGACAGTATTTGTGGTTTCTTCATGACGGGGCACCACCACACATGTTTAGAGGCGTCATTCAGTATTTGAATGAACATTATCCAAATCGCTGGATCGGTCGAAATGCTTCTGATCCTCGAAAATGGCCATCGAGATCTCCTGACCTCAATCCGATGGACTTCTGGATTGGGGAGAACTGAAAGGGATGGTTTATGGGGCTGGTCCAATAACAACTAAAGCACAACTTCGCAAAAAAAATTTTTAATGCGGCTGAAATAATAAATGGACAACTTCAAGGACCTGGCGTAAGAAGAACCTGGGATTAAAGTCGCTTTTCTCTAAAAAAATGCCGTTTTGACCCCCATGTTATATGAAACTTTTTGCTTCTTATCACTCCCTCTATCTCACATTTAAATAACGACTATCATAACGTTTACACATCCGGTGGTAAGATTCGAATTCTGCTGTTTGTCAGCAAAGCAGATAGAATTTGTTGAAGTTCTATGTATTTTTGTATGTCCTTATCTTAGCAGCAGTCTCAGTCTCCGTGCGTTGCGCGGGTTCGAATCCCATCCCAAGACAATTTTTCTCTTGGCTATGGATGTTGTGATTGTCCGTAGGTGGTGGACGGTCTCTTACTGTCGAACGCGGAGGTACCACCTGGCCGATCTCGTATGCGGGGCCAGAATGTGTGTATGTTACATGCACACGTGTTCCCTTGCTGGGGTCCGTGTGCCCCCTCCCCCCCCCCCGCCTCTTTTGCTCTATATCACACCATAGCCCCACGATACACATGGATGTTTAGGCTTAGGCCTTCGTGATGGTAGGAGGATAAAAAAATAAAAACCATTTATTTGTAATTGCTAAGTATCGTGCGGTGGCATGTCATACAGCTCACATGAGCGAGTTTGCCCGATATGTCTGATCTTTTATTAAATTAGAAAAACAATACCTGGAAACACAAGGGATATTAATCTTATAGACCAGGCAAGATATGAAGTTTGACCTTTCATCCATATTCAACCACCCAGAATTCATCCCAAAATCTCTATGTTAGGTGCAACAAGCTATTCAATTTTCTATGCTATCAAGGGATTTTATGTCACTTGAATTTTGTAATCATCATGTCACTAATAATTTTATAGAGTTAAAAATGATTCGATTCTTTGAGCGACCCTTTTCAGAACACTTTGTCAGACAAAATATATCTTCTGACGACTTAAATCATAAAAAACGTCTAATCCCTATTTGTACCTTTCACATCTGAAGGTATCTACAAACCTCTTAATAATTCAGATTCTGATTTACATAAGAACGTCCACCGAAAAAACATCGATATATTAGCTGCGCTGCAGGGAGACTATCCACTTTTAAATCTGAATATTAATTACGCTGAGGAATGGCTCGATCGTAATTTAGAACAAATTTAGATTAATGCACCTGATAGAGCCCGCGCGAGCTGTCCTGTCCTGAACGTTTTGTAGGGATACACTAGAATTGATGGTTCTATTAATCGAGCAAATGGATGAAAAGCAACCGGTTATTTGAAATATGTATCGGTGGTTTTGTGTCAATATTTTCCCTTCTCACGCCAACTGGAGAAGGAACTATTGTAGCCGCAAAAATTTTAAAAATGTGATATTGTTCTTTTGATGTCACGCGACATATTCATCACAAAAAACTTTGTCACCCTATACTATACAACATGGAAAGTACTGGTTGTGTTTTGATAGAATTTCGATACTGTGAAAATCGATCGTGACGGCAAAACTCCTGGGGAAAAAATGAAATGGTCAAACTCCGTTTTTTCACGTTTCACCTTCCTGCTAATTGTTGACAACCTTTTGGGGTGAAAAATTGGAGGTGGAGGGTAGTAGGAGGTAGAAGAAGTCAATTTTGGTAGTATTTTAATTCATACGCTTCCAACTACGGCAATCAAATGTCGACGTTGATATGAAATTGCGAGTAATTGACGCGTGCATTTTTCCCATTTTGGATTAAGGAACTGTACCATGGATAAGGCTTAAATTCACCAGGTCAGCTTGAAGAAAGCATATAAGGTTGCAGGGAGGTTTACGTGTTCTCTTCCATCGAAACAACTTTGGTACAAGCTCGGCAAGGATCCCTACCCATGAAGGAAGCCTTAAAGCTACTACACACAGTGCCGGCGGCAATGCCGCCGGGTTTATGCCGAGCGGCTATGCCGTCGGCAATACAAGCCGCCGGCACAAGCCGCGCAAAGCCGCCAAGCATCATTCCGGTTGTGACAGTCACATAGAACGCTAGTGAAGTGCATATTTTATGGTTGGTTGGTTAAAATGAATAAGGAAATCATCAGCACAGCCGCCGCAGTTGTAATTTTTATTTTAATAAGAAAAAAATTCAAAAGGACGAGAAGGTTTTGGTTGCACCCAAGTTTACAAAATAGAAAATGGCGGAACGGTACTGTAATGATAGAAGAGTATAAAAAAGATGATGTGGGGTGTCAGCGTTTGCGCAATAGCATGTTTTTTGGCTTTCTGTACATCGTCTATGCCTGCACGAGATTTGTGCAACTGTTCGAACTTCTTTTTTTCCCGAAAATAATGAGAGGTTACATTTTTTAACTTTCTCTCTACTTCGCCTTTATCAATGTCAAATACACTTGCAATTATGTTCAATGCGTCCATTCGATTGTTCCTATTCTAATAGTCTGCATTTCTGGGATTCCATAATATATCAATTTCATGAAATTTTCCAATTAAGAGCAGCACAGCTTCGTCGTCCCAATTAAACGACATTTTAATTTGTTTAAACACAAAAACCGCACTACCGCTCGAATGCCAGGAACGAAGTGACGCCGGTAAGCCGCGTAACCCGGCGGCAATGCCGGCGGCTCCTTTGCGCGGCAAGGCCAGCGGCTTTGTATGCCACCGGGTGTACGGAGGCTTAGCCGGCGGCTTGCCCGGCGGCCCTGCCGCCGGCACTGTATGTTGCAGCCTTTATAAAGCCAAGGGTCCAGGGCAGATCTGATAGTATGATAGTCGCTGCTTTACGAGCCACAAGTGCATCTCAGTTCCGAGCTAGCAGCCGTTGCGAGTATACACTTGTGCGACTGCGACCCACCCGGACATATTGAGCAATCTTATTGCGATAGATTGGTTGTTTGCCATCCACGATGGCGAAAATTGAGAAGCTGGCTAACCAGCTGAAAGAGAAGAAAGATGCTTTCGCCATGCTGGCAGAGCAGATGCGAAACCTGCAAGAAGCCTTCTTGCAGGCACAACAGGAGATCGAGGACCTGAACGGGAAGCTCCGCAGGGCCAAGAAGGAGGCCGCAAAGAAGACCGAAGAAGGCGAGGAAGAGGACCACCAGGCTACGTCGGACGAGATGGACGCTCAAGAAGAGGACACCCAACGGACCGAAGAGGATAGGACCACGACAGAGACACCAAGCAACGACGACACCGATTTCAGTGTCGCCACCAGCGCGTGCGAGTTTCCTCCTCCGAAGACGAGTCGCCAAGGCAGCCAAAGATGCCAGCTGCCGCCACCAAGAAGAGTCCTAGAGCAGCCAGGACCATCGTGATTCCCATGTCGGGAACAGGAGTTCCCCCCATCAGCATCGAGGGCACCGCTGACTGGTCATCCTTAAGCAGGATGATAAACAACAAGGGGATCCAATTCTCCAAGGCGAGGACGGCGGGTAACAGCGTGAAGGTGTTCACAAATACACCAGCTGACTACCGTCAGCTAGTCGCACTTCTGGACTCCATCAAGCGGCCCTTCTTCACCTATCAACTGAAGGAGGACAGGATGGACCAGAGGGTCATTCGTGGACTACCCAGGGAGACGTCAGTCAATGACATCAAAGAGGATCTAGTGATCCAAGGTATCGCAGACGCCGAGGTTCAGCAGAAGACCTCAAGGACCACCAAGAAGCCACTTCCGCTCTTCCTCGTCAAGACGAAGAGGCCGAAAAAGCTTCTACAGATCCAGAGGCTGGCCATGCTCACGGTCAGCTTCGAGAGGAGAAAAAGTCCACCGAGCCCAGCCAATGTTACCGCTGCCAGCGGTACGGGCACTTACAGCGGAACTGCCGTCTCGCTGAACGGTGCGTGAAGTGTGGAGAGGACCACAACAGCACCAGCTGCAGTCTGCCAGCGCCGCCAACAGGGCAACGAAATGCCAAGTGTTGCCTTTGTGGAGAAGGCCAACTACAAGGGATGTAGTAAGGCCCCGAGGAAAGCTGCTGCTGCCCCCAAAGCAGTCCTCACCACAAATAGGACCTCTTACGCTCAAAAAGCGAAGAAACCTATGTCCACTTCTGCCCCAGCAGCCGCCACTGCTACTTGAACAACTGTGCAGAAGCAACATGGCGATGACAGACTGCTAGCAATGATGCAAGCCATCATAATCCGCCTGGATGCACTCGAGGCCAAGATGCAAGACAAGCATTAGACCCGAAATGACTACAGGGCAAAACGTAGAATCTCTACGCATTATCTCCTGGAACATCAACGGATTCAGGGCACGGAAACCAGAAATCCAGGAGATACTAGACCAGTACCAACCAGAGGTGATGGCCATCCAAGAAACGAAATTGGATGCTGCCCATAGTCTGACGTTCCCGCGGTACGAGACGTACCACTACGACAGAAGAGGCAGAGGTGGAGGAGTCGCATTGCTCGTCAAACGTACCTTGACGAGTCATGTCCTCGACGATGCCGCAGACATCAATGGGGACGGAATCACGGTCCAGGTCCATACAACCACCGTCCCTACAGAATCACCTCCCTATATGTGCCACCAGGGGAGGCCCTAGACGAAGATGACATCGCTGACCTCCTGAGAGGCCCAGGAGCACGCATAGTCATCGGAGATCTAAACTGCAAATCTCCGGCATGGAACAACAACATCGAAGACAGGAATGCAAGGCAGCTCCAAGAACACGTCGATGCCCTGGCGGGGGTCATCGTCGGTCCGGAGCAACCAACCTACATTCCATTCGGCCTTGGGTGACCTGAGGTACTGGACATAGCCATCCTCCGCAACATCAGAGAGGAGTTCGAGATAGAGACCCTGGTGGAAGGATCGTCGGACCACAATCCGATCCTACTAACACTTGGCACAGGGTCTAGAACTCGAGATAGCTTGAGCACCAAACGGACGAACTAGAACCTGTACAAATCCAACGTCCAAAGGAACATCACTCAAATTCCAACCATCCGATCAGCGGAGGAACTGGACAACGCAGTAGAGGAGCTGGTGAATGCCGTCCTGCAAGCGCACGAGGACAGCACCCGCTCAGAGACTACGGCAGTTCCTAGACACCTAAATGGTCCAGCACCGCACCATATTAGGCACCTGATCAGGGAGAACAGAAGACTCAAGCGAGAACATCTCCAGCTGTTGACAAAGAAGTCAAGAGTTGCGCGAAACATAGCATCGCTAGCTCTGAAGAACGCACTCGCGGAACTCCAAAACAGCAGATGGAATGCAGCCTGTGCAGAACTAGAGACCCAGGATGGTACGGCCTGGACTATGCAGCGAAAATTTCGTCGTCAGCGCACCACGATCCCCACTCTTCACGGCCAACGCGGCTTGGCCTACTCCAGTGAAGAAAAAGCCGAAGCATTTGCCGATTCGCTAGAATCCGAATGCAGACTCAATTACCATGAAGACGATGACGACAACCACGAGGAGGCCGTGGAAGTCGCAGCCGAAATCATGAGGAGTCGACCACCTGGGCAGGAGACGGATCACCCCTCCAGTCCAGAGGAAATCCGTTTGATCATCCGCAGGTTGAAGGTCAG